TCTATACTATTTATATATTCTATTATAAATATATACTAATAAATTCTTAACATTGTCTGCTGTGTCTCATTTTTGCAGAGACCAAGTTCAGAAAACTGTTTCAGAGATGTTGTGCTATTTAGGCAAAGTACACCTTCCATAATCCTATCGGGCTGTTCCTGTCTTGCTTGTTTGTTGCAAGTCAATTAGCTGCTTGCCAGTTTTCATGCAAGTCCTGGCCAAGTCTGGTGGCTTCACCCGTCGTATTTGATTTGATAGATCTGGTATCCTTAGCGATACCAGATACAAGATATGATGAGGTCAGGACCCTGGTGGAGTGGTGCCTTGACAATAATCTTTCCATCAGTGTCAGCAAAGCAAAGAGCTGGTCATTGATTTTAGAAAGCAGGGTGGGGACCAAACCCCTATCCACCTCAGTGGGGTGGCTGTAGAGATGGTTATCAGCTAATCACTAATGATTTAACCTTGTCCCTGCATGTAACTACAAAGGGTGGAGCATGAAGCTACAGAGGAGGCACTACGGTGCCTTTACTTCCTCACACAGTTGAAAAAAGTTGGTCTTCAACTGCCCTTACCACATTTTATAGGTGCGGTATTGAGAGTGTGCTCATATGTGGTATTACAGCATGGTTTGGCAGCAGCTCGTTGTCTGACCAGAAGGCGTTAAAAAGGGTGATAAAGTCAGCCCAGTCCATCATTGGAGTACTCTCTATTTCGGACAGTTTTACAACTCGCTGTCTCAGGAGGGCTGGAAGTACCGCTAAGTATTCCAGTCATCCTGGTTTCTCATTTTTCTCCCCCCTTCCCTCTGGTAAGTGTTATAGGAGCATAAAGGCACGAACTTTCAGATTCAGACAGTTTCTTCCCACGAGTTGTCAGATTACTTAACTCTACCCTTACCACTGGCTCACACTGATGTTGTATGTTCTTTAACTTGTTGTTACTGCTGCTGTTCTGTGTTTGTTTGTTTTTTGGGGGCGTTTCCTTAATGTCTTTGTATTGGAGCATACATGCAAATAAGCATTTCATTGCACTTGTGCATATGACAATAAACTGAACTGAACTGAGATCTATGCTCAAGCGAGATCCCTTGTTTAAACAGTTAAGTTCTGAAAAGATGTAATGGGAGGATCCCCAGATGATTTTCTCTTAAAGTGTCGCACATGGCACTAGTACAGAAGCTTGTAGTGGGCGCGAGTACTGTACAGCCCATGTGAAGATGTAGGTACGTAGACATACCCCTCCCCCTTCCACGCTAACCTACATCCTAAAACAAGCCTGGTATTAGAATAATCTAGAGGAGTGAGCCAGGTATTTTAACACCCCATCTCCTGTCCACACACCTTTTTTTTCATCTGGCAGTACTGGTATAAGGGCCCTAGCAATGACGTTGATTAGTAATTGGGAGGGAATAATAAGAAAGGATATAACAGGACCTCCATTTTTTTAAATAAATGATTACAGATGTAAACCCACCGTATTATTTTTTTGTTGTTGGATAAATAATGCATAATAAGAGTGATACTGCAATTTTATTTATCATCTGTTAAACTGCATTTCCAAATGTATTATTGTATTATGATTGTGTGCTTTGAACATCTCTTTACTATACCGTCTCAAAAATTAGTCATCTCAGTATAGCCTCCTGATAAAAAAAATGATGTCTTGTGGTATTGTATATGATACAATCCATCACCCCATGCAATCCATCACTTTCCAATTTCTGTTACCATCTCTGTCCTTTATGTCATGATTGACTAAAAGATATGCCTGCACACTGGAGTAAAAAACAAAGACTTATCCCAGTATACATACCTACTGTAATAAGAAACAGAGTTTGACATGGCTTGAAATTTAAAGGCAAAAGATTCAGGCATCTTATTAATAACTACATTTTTTGGTATTATAATAATAAAATACACTGCACATGTTTTTCATTCCTTTCCTGTTTTTCGCACTGTTCCTCAGCTTTCCTCATTTGCGTAATGACTGATAGACAAGATCACAGCAATGCCATTTTCACAAAAATGAAATGAAT